TTGTCAGAAGACTCTCCAGACCTGCATTCTGGAATCTTTTTCCTGAACTATGCCTGATGTGAAGCTTCCTCCTGCATGTTCTGCTTATGTGTCCAAGAGAAGGCTTAACCCATCATCCCATGAGTGCCTTTCCATGTCATAATCTCCACTTCTTCCCTTGTTCCCCTTCTCCATGGATGGGAACTCTCAGTTGCTCAAACTGGAAATGTGATGTCATCCTGTCCTTCTTATTCTCTATCTTCTTCTCTCTCCATCCTTGTCAAGTTGATCTGGATTTTATCTCCATGCAGTGTTTCTGAGTTTGACTACTTCCTTCTGTCATCACTGCCTTACCCAAGTTATTCTTCTCTTAACTGGGTCCCTGCCTCCTGGCCTGGCCTTTTTCATCCTCTCTGGGATTCTCCACTGCTTTTAGGATAAAGTCTGAATTAATTAGCAAAATTTCCAAAGCCTTCTATTTCTGTCTTCTACTTATATCTTCAGTTTGTTACATTGTCATCAGCCCCCTCTAGTCTACCCCCCAACTTTATATTCCAGCAAGTTTGAGCATTTTGTAGTCCCCAAATAAAGATTATTGTTGCTTTACTACATGCCTACACTATGTGTCTTCAGAGCATTTAAATTTCTTTTGCAGCTACACATTGATTGTTTGATTATACATAACCATGGCATAAAAACAAAATCCCAAAAATATTTCTTCAGAAGCTGGCGAGATGGCTCAGTAGGAAAAGGTGCTTACTGCTAAGCCTGATAACCAAGTTCAGTCCCTGGGACCACATGATGAAAGGAGAGAAATGACTCCTACAGATTGTCCTCTGACCACCACACATGCTCAGCGGCATGCACATGCCACCCCCAATAAATAAATAAATAAATAAATAAATAAATAAATAAATAAATAAATAAATGCATGAATGCTTTAAAATGTATGTCTTAAGAAACTACCATAAACTTTGTGTTTGGTACTATCGATGGTAAAAGTGTTAGAAGTAGTAAGACACATACAGTATGCCATCTGCTATCAAAGAGCAGACCCTGTTGCAGAGGCAATAAAGACCTTCTTGTAACACTGGCCTGTTTATGCAGTATGGGCACAGACTGAAGGCTTTGGGGGTTCATGGCAAGGAGAGAGAACTGGAGGCTTCTCAGAAGGCAGAGTTCATAAACTGAACCCGATTTGACTTTGAACGCTGAGGAGGACTCCAACATCTGAAGAAGCTGAACCGGCTGCCTGCCTCCTCTCTTCCTTCAGAGTCAATACTGTCCATTTTGGGGAAGTAATATTTATAAAAACAATTCTTTGGTCATACTATCTGCTGTCTTTTGATGGCCAAATTCTCTGTAACTGGCCCCAACATATGGTTATTGGTCTAGAGGAATTTTAAGGTGATTTACAAACTGAGTCCATGATTACACCCTAGAAGTTTTACCTGCAGCTTCCCCTGAGTCCTCATTTCCCTGCACCCTGACTTTGTTAACATTATTTTTGTGGGATACAGTGGATGTATGTCTTCTTGTGTTAAAATTTACATTTTAAGTTTTCATAAAAATCTAAGAACTGCAGACTGAAACAATGCTCCATGTCTCTGAACGTGGCAAGCAATCATCATGTATAGGACTTAGTTGATAAATGGTCACACAGCTCCTAGGCACACTCTCCTGATACTTCAGTCTTTGTGTTGCCCACACAGGAGAACAGAAAAGAAGTGAGATTATAGCTTTCTTTTTGTTTCGATGGCTTCTAAATGGGCTCTTAATTTTTATAAAAAAATTCAATTTCTTATTATTTACTTTAAAAATCATTTCTCAAGCACAATGCAATAAACTCAATATGGTTTTGTGCTGTAGAATCTGGCAAAACCTTCCACAGTGACTTGTATGTAATAGGAGAATTATAGGATTAGCAACAACCATTCATAGACGTAATAAAAGCTGAGGTAACTTTATCCCAAGTCAGAAAACAGCACTCTTTTTTTTCTTTCTAATAACCCTCTTGTTTTAATAAAGCTTATCCTTTATTTGTTGTATTTTGTATATACATATATGTAATAATATTTATTACATATATACATATATGTATTACATATATACACACATATGTTAAACATATAACACATACATATATTCTTCACTTGAACTAGTGCTTTTGGTTAAAAAGACCATACCTTATTCATGTCTAATTCTTCTTCAAGGTTGCTGCACTAAAATGTTTAATTTATGTCAAATTAAAATTTTGTGTATGAGCATATTTTATAAAATAGCTATGATGACCAGTTAAGCATCCATATCCAAGAATATATCCAAGGACTCAAATTAACTTAAATTCTTCACCTGTTTTTATCGTGAACACATTCTTAAATAATTCAGTAATTAAGTTATCAAGAGTTATGATAATGAGTGTATTTTAATTAAATAGCTTACCTTTTTATTATTTATGGAACAACTGTGTCAACCTGAGTACATAATTACCAGCCATATGTTCGAATTTATGGAGGCAGCTGATGAAAAAAAGGTATTCATTAGGTACAAAGTAAGGATAGTTAGTGTTTATTCTAACCCTAGTATTTTAGATTGAGTCATAAAATAAATCTGTTTCTCCTGTGTGACTGTGTAAGTGGCAGATGGTAAACAAGCATTGTTCCCTACAGAAACCCTGTTAGTGGAAATGCCCTTTATCTAATATTGCTGATAAGCACCAACAGGAATGCAGCAACTCAGGAGCCTAAGAAGGGTGTTCGAGTATTTCAGTGGAAGCATCCTTGCCGAGCATGTAGGAGGTCTTCGGTTCCATCTCTAACACGGCAGAAAACCCCACATGGAAACCAAAACTTACCACCCAGACAAACAAAACCCTGACCCTAAGAAACAACTCATTCAGTCCACCTTCCTCCTCTGTCCACATCACCCCCACCCCTAACAATTCACACTCCCACACTTTGCCACTGAGAAGCTGTGGCCAATGGGGTCAAGCTCTGCCCAAAGCTGGGTTCTGCTTCTTTTCTCCATGTAGCATAAAGTCCACAGGAGTTTATAAAGAAAAAAATGCTCACTTCTGTGTCTGTTGTAGTTTCAGAGTGATTATACTAATTAGAGGTCTGTCCCCTTAAAGCAAAATCATATATTGGAATATAGCCACAACCAAGGGACATTCACATTGCAATAGACATTTTCCTGCTTATTCCTAGAAGCTGGACAAGCCCAGGGGGCCTCTGGGAAGGTGACTTTGGAGAGACATTGTAGGAGGGAGAGGCTGAAGTTCAGGGGGAGCAGTATTTGAGACACTCAATGTGCCAGGCTTGGTGGGCAGCCAGAGGGCAGTGTGGGTGCATGGGATCCTAGCCACAGACAGACTCAAGCCTTTTACATCCTTGCTTACAAAACACTGACAACTGTGGGTTGAGATTCCTCAAAGGAATGGTTGAAGAGAAATGAAGGGAATTGGGCACTTAGCTAAAAATTATAAAACTAAGCCAAAGGCAAGAAAGAAACTGAAATTGGTAAATTAATAATGAAAAACAAAAATACACACAAAATATCTCCAGTGACCAAAAATGCAGTGTTACCTTTCACTGCCCCGCCTCAGCTGAGTGCACTGTGTGGTTTTTATGAGCTTGAGTGGAGGCAAGCAGCTTAAATACATCAGGGGAGATTTAAAAAACTGCTGTTTTGAACAACTGTTCTAAGTGGGGTTTTGATTTCTATCTTGCGACCAAACCATAACATCTAATCACTTTCAGCGGACAGCTTATGGCTGTAGTCTACCTCTTCTTTCTTTCAGACCATTGCACTGTTCTCTGAAACAGCTACTATAAACTTTAGATGAACTAACAGAGGGTATGGCATTGATTGTCTTGCCAGAATACTCAAGATGAGTTGTGTTTTCTTATGACAGTTCTATGGATCCAGAAAGCAGAAGCCTTTGTTCTTCTGAGAGCTAGAATAACATCATACTTACTAGTGTAGGCTCTGGGGCTAAGTTGTTAAGAGTAATAACTGACTTTAACCCTTCCTTCTGGCTCACTGCGAAGTGGAGAATATAACAACACCGGCTCATGGAACTTTTCATTCAATAGATTCCTTCTGCTGCCAAGTTTGTGATAGATCTTCCCAGAGCCCCTGGGAGATAGCATTAAGCAAAGCAAACATAAGCCTCGCTTGCAGGGTGCTTCCAGCTTGATACGGAAGGGTGTGGATAAACAGACACAAAACAAACTACAGCAGGCTGGAAGGTAAAATATCACAATGACACACAGAAGAGGGCACAGGAGGTTCCTGAAGGGAACAATAGCGGTTACAATAGTAGGCAACTTAGACCTCAATGAAAAGAGAAGTTTAGGCCAACCCTTGAAGAGACATTAGCAGCTTTGCAGAAGCATAGGAGAAATACCTTTAGAGCAGTAAGCTAGCATGAAGCCCCTTGTGTAGGGCTGTGCTGGGTGGCTCTGGCAGAGGCCATGCTGACTGGATTTCACCAGTGAGTAAGCTGAAGGGAAGAGGATATTCGTCAAAGTGGCAGAGAGTGGGTGTAAGTTGAGTAGGGCCTGGAAATCTACAGCAAGAACTTTGGCTTTGGCCTCTGAGTAGAATAGTGCTGAAGGAAGTAGAGGGTACTGAGCAGAAAAATAATCTATATGTCACAGAAAATATGTCACTCTATAAGCATTAATTTGATGCCCATTCCTGTTATTTTACACACCAGGAGAAGTACCCCCAACACACCAACCCATTGTTATCCATTGTTATTAATGTAGTTTTTTCCATATGGAGTTATTATAGGTTTTTGTTTTTGTTTTTTTTTTTTTTTTTTTTTTTTTGCTGGTTGCTAATTGCTGCAAGAAATCCTACTGGTTTTTTTTTTATCTTCCAGAATTAGATGGACCTGGGTTGTTGCTATTACCTCTACCTTGAGTTTTAAACATGTAATGTATTTTTGTATCTGTTACTTGTTCAGAAAAAAAATCTTGCCTTTCTTCAGTGCTGCTCTCCTTTGCTTTTCTCAGTGCTCAGCAGAGGAGCAGTCAGGTTCACAAGAAAAGCACAATTGGAAATCAGGTAGGAACCATGTAAGAGACCCGGTGCATGCATGCCCCAAAGCATTGGAACTAAACTGCTTGACTGACGTTTTTTTTGAATGCAAATTAATCATATGTAGTTTTTGCTTTAAGATGCAGCTTTTTGTTTTATTTTTTGCTTTTCAAGTTTTTGGAGCGAACTTTGTACTTTGTTTTGGCTATTTTTGCAGTTAACCCTACCACCTCACTTTAAGTAACCCCTGCTACTTGCTGTGCACTCTGCATTAGACTCCTTGTGTCCTCTTTTGCTTGCTTCTGTTACCACCAAACTTGATTTAACATTGAATCTGAGGTAGCTCAAGGTTAAAAATATGGTGAGTAGATGCATGAGCTTCTGAGTGCTGCTGGCTAGTTCACACGTTTGCACAGCTTGGTAACAGTGAAGGGACAGCTCAGAAATACGGCAGTGTTGGAATAACCTCTGCCATGCCAAATTTCTATTGGTTGACGACGATGTTAATTGCTAAGGTGATCTGATCACTTGAGTTTTTTGAGTTTTGGGGCTGACCTGCTGTCTGACTAATAGCGCTCTGCAGAGATTGTATTAACTCCGGCAGTTTGCTGTTTCTTCTATGTTTTATGTGATAATGAATATTTGCCTTGTTATTTCTTTTCAACTCAAAACAATGATGATTTTTTTAAAAGCTTTTTTTAAAAAAAAAAAACTACAGAGGTACAATTATTGAACAAATTGAAACTTCTGCTCTAGATGATTTTTTCCCATTGTTTTGAAAGGAGAAGAGGTAATAACAGACTTTATCTTAAAACTTTTTTTTTCTGAACTAAAGCATATAATTCTTTGCTATTTCAGGGAACCAATCTTCCGCCTTCAAGGCAAATTGTACGAGCTAAGTTCTGTAAGCTTTACTGTTGCTTTTTTTATTTAGCTTCCCAAGGGCACAGTTTGTCTTTAACTGATTAACTCAACTAGCGCTTGCTACTAATTTTTTTTTAAACTTAGGTTGTCTTGTTCGTAACACCATATCACTGAAACAAAACTCCTCTTCGGAGGGTTATCCTTCACTGCTAATAACTTGCTGTGATTGAAAGGTATGAACTAGTAAACCCTACAATGCTGTAATAATAAATCCTTAACCTGGTGGGTGCTTTGGTATTTCTCTAATTTTAATGGGCCTTAAAATCATTAAAATCATTAACGATCTCTGCCTCTATCATTTTCTGCTTTGTTGGTCTGAGGCATAAGCTTTTCTCTTTCCCCTGTACAATAATATTTTCAACAAATGTACATGATGCTTCTAAAAGGTGGGTGAACATTGATTATCTGACTTTAATATATTTATTTGTAAGCTTACCCAATTCAAATCATTTGTATTTTTTAAGAATAAAAATCCCAAAGCAAAATTACATTGTTTTTTATATGGCTGCAGAGTTGAATCTTTTACTATTAGATAGTATCTCTATGTTTCACAGAAGTATAAAGGCATGATAAAACATTTACAGGAAGAGTTAGAAAGAAACTGTGTTCTCATTTGTACTATGAAGGAAATAGGCTTGTCCTCCCAACTGCACAGGTTGAGAATGAGATTGGAAAATACAGGCTTTGGATCTAGGTATTCATGAGTTCAACTTTAATCATGCCCATTAGTAGCCATGGAGCTTTATACAAAATGATCCCAAGTTTGCTCAGATGTGTGTTGTTGGGAAGAACAGAATACAACCCTGTAAAATTATGTGGAGAGTCTTGTGGGAGGATGAGACAGGATTGTCACAAATTCAATACCAGCTGGGGCTACATAGTGAGATCCAGTCCAACTGGGATACAGAATGAATCAAAAAGTGAATCTCTACAGGGAGGTTGTGAAAGTCTGAAATAATATGTGTAAGGATGCTTCCACAGCCAAGTCCAAGATACACACATACCCTAGAAAGAGTACAATCCTTGCTTCCAGAAGGTATGTGCTACTTGGAACTTTTAGATGAAAATGTAGGAAGTATGAGAAAATTATAGAAGTTATACGATAAGGATGATGAAGTATTTAGAAAATTAGAAGTTACAACCAATTATTCCAATGCCCATAATGTCTAGATTGTGGCTTAGTGTGGCATGGGTTTACCTATAAAAGTTTTCTCCCTGGGTAGTGGTGGTGGCACATGCCTTTAATCCCAGCACTTGGAAGGCAGGGGCAGGTGGATCTCTGATTTCAAGGCCAGCCTGGTCTTCATAGTGAGTTACAGGACAGCCAGGGGTGCACAGAGAAACCCTGTCTCAAAAAAAAAATTCCACAGGTCAGAAGCTACAGCTAGGAAATGCAATAGTGTGATAGTGCAGGCACCTAACTTATATTAGATCTGAGAGGAAGTATGGCGTTGCTCTCAATTAGAGACTCTAAATGCTAAGATCGTAGCTGTGTTTCCATGACTGCACTTTTGCCAGGAACATCAAATCCCACACATTATAGAGGTTTTGAAACCCACGGTAACAGAATTAGGTGCATATTGGAAAATAGTACTCCAAACTCTTGGGGTCACTCAAGCCTTGAAAGCCAGAATTATTTTATTTCTAAAGCTTTAGAAAAATAATACATCTACTGTGTCATGTAGGATCCAACATTCTGTGGGATCAGAGGTAGCATCCTGTCATCTAGCAGAGCCTGTTTATGTAGTGAGATGAGTTAATAGACAGAGCAGGTAGGCTAAATGAAAGTGGTAAATCCTCTTGTTTCAGCTCAGATTTTGCTGTCCATTAAAAGATATTGTCTCAATTTGCAAGTATTAGCTTATGCATCTCAATAACTTACTTTCCAGAATCAAATTCAGCCATTTATAACACAAGAAGGTATATTCAAGAGGATCTTTTATAGTTTCTTAGAAGTACACTATCACAATTAATGTTGTTTTATTTATGAATCTGGGTATTTTATGTCTGTTTGGATCTGTATAAAAACAGTTTTGCCTATGAAAAGGTGCAGAGCCAGGGACCTTAGATTCCAGCCTTACAACGGCAGCTACATGTATGATAAGGCTGAAAGGTCCCTCAGTGTCCTCAAGTGATACATTTATCCTGCCGTCCTCTCAGGGCTCCAGGGTATGAGGCAAACTTAGTAACAACTATACATCAGAAACAACACAGGATCAATCCTACCCTATTCATTTTTATCTGCCTTGACATTTTAGTAGACCTACAAATCGATGCCAACATGTAACACAAAAAAATTATAATCATGAAATTTATATAAAGTTGGGCTTTTGCACAATTTAAATGGGAACTTCATCCATCTCTGTACTTATCAGACATGTATTTAAAATCTAAATGTGCCAAAACCTGTGGTAATGCTTAGAGCAGTAAGATGTAAGATGTTGGGGATGTTGGTAAGTAAGCAGTACATGCTCTGTACTAAATTCTAGATACTTCTGCTCATTCAAGTCTTACTGAAAACCCACTTCTGCAGGAGGCTAGCCTTGTCTTGTCATGTATGTCTGATTACCCTCCCTCCTCAGAGTCTCACACTGTCTCATTTTATGGTTCACATTTTTCTAATGACATTTTGTCCACTGTTATGAGGATCAGAGTTCCATCAAAGTCTCGTTGTTTGCTGAGAACAGACAATGATTTTTAAGCACAGTCACATGAACATTTTAGAAGCATCCTGCTGCTTGTGGAATGGAAGGAGGCTGTGAAGAGTGGACAAGATATAAAGAAGAGATTAGTTCGGTCTTTTGGATAAGAAATTATGGATATTTCTGAGTTAGTGGAGATGCTGATAAATTCAAGTATTTGATTAAATGGGAAGATTTTCACAAGCACTGTGATGAACTGGATGCTGGGAAGAGAGTTCAAGACTCCATTGTCTCAGACTTCTGATTTGGGCATAGGAAAGGAGCATTGAAGGTTAGATTTTGATTCAGACTCAAAGTGTGGTGGCTCTGTTCAGTGTGAGACTAGATTGACAACATAGGAAGCCAGAGCAAGCACATCAGTTGGAGATTGGATGGATGTGTCTCTGAGACAAGACAGAGACCTTCTTCGAAGGTACAGAGAGCCATTGGTAGATTTCCAATAGGGAAGGGATACCAACTGATTTTTTATATCAATGAAGTCTAGAGAATGGTTTTGAAGAGTGCAAGTACAGGCCCAGAAATTAATGGTTTTTTGAAGTAACTTGTGTTAAAAATACAAATATTGATATCAGAAAACATATAGAGGAAGGAAAACATTCAAACTATTTTTAGGAGTGGTTAGCCCTCCCAGGCTTCTGGCTGAGGAGATCCATTGACAAAGGGAAGGCAAGAAAAAAGCATGTTAGAGAGGGTGGGAAAAGAAGGTAGGAGTTGTTTGTGCCTATTAGACATCATTATGGCTTGGGGTTCAAGAGTCATGTAGAATCGAGGGACATGTTTTATAGTTGTTGGTATATAAAGTAGTTACTAAAATCATGGGAGAGGTGAGATTAGCTCTAAAGGGTGATGACATAGGAAGAACTATAGGGTTCAAAGGATGATGGAAAAAGGATTGGAACACAATGGGGAACTGAAAAGAAGATCGAGAGGTGGTGAGAAAGGTTGGACAACCTGGAGAGGAACAGAATGGAAGACAACGTTGAGGAGAAAGAACACGCCATCTTCACTCCATCTTCAGCTAGAGACTGGCCATCGTTGTAATCTAGTTCTTCTCCCAGAGAGAACATTCCAAGGACAGTCAATGACAGTGGATGTTTGGGGGATCTGAGGAAGTTTAGGGAAAGTTGTCAGGTGGTAGGCAGGGCTAGGCGTCATCTGAGACCTATCAATATCAGCAGCCCTACTGGCCTTAAGGACTGCTCTTTTAGTCTATACTCGAAAGCTGACATAAAGCTGAAAATACTTAAAACTGGACTGCTATGACCTGAGATTTTTCCAGGGTCAGCGTAGAAGCTCAAGAGGAAAACTGCATTGCAGTTTTGGGGAGAGAGAAGTTATAGTAATGCACTGCTTAATGTGAGTGGCTTGAACTCTGTAAAAACCAGGAAACATTAACTAAGTAGCAAACAACCTCAAAAATCTTAGCAGATGATTACAATTAAAGCCTAATTCAGTGTGCTGTGACAGCCCCAAGAAGTCAGGAAGACAGCCATCCCACTCTCATAATAAAGGCTTTGTCACTGTGACAAGATGCTCGAAAGGGACAATGTAAGGAAGCAAGTATTACTCTGACTCACGGTTTCAGTCCACGCTTTACTGGCTTCACTGTTTTTTATGGTCCTGAGCCAGAACATTGTGATGGAGAAGGTGTAGTAAAGCTGAGTTGCTCACCTTGCGGTGGCTAGGAAGCTGAGACTGAGGAAGAGCCAGATAGAGGATATGCCTTTCCAAGAGTATCAAGCACACACATCCAGTTACCTACTAAAGTTATCAAATTATGAATTCCTTATGACACACTAATCTATCAACCAAGTCAGAACTCTCATAGTCCAGTGGTTCCCCAAAAACTGATCAGCTGGCAATCAGGCCTTGACCTTAGAGGTCCCAAGGGACATTTCATACTGAAACTATAACATGGCCAGATTTGAGAGTCTTCTCATTTCTTCCGTCAAATGGGAAAGAAATAGAAGTCTGAGTGAAGGAAATTTTAATGACATGTCACTTCATATTCTGCTGACCAGGGCACTGTCATTTGGGCTCACCAAATGATAAGAGGAACTGGAAGGTACACTGGAGTTTGTGCTGAGGAAAAAGAAAAAAACAGATGATGTTGACAGAAAATTGAAAGGAAATCGATTGGCTGGGACACTGGAGGTTTCACTGAAGTCAGAGAAAATATGTCCTAGGAGTAAAGGGGAAGCAGTGAGGTGTGGGATTGAAGTTACTGAGTGGACGATGGTTTTGAATGCCACTTGAATGTCT